CAAGATCCATGGAAAGAACAGTTCTGCTACACAACAGTTCCAGCAGGTCTTCTAGACCTCTTCACCCCAAGGCGGCAGAAAATAGTGACTAACTAGTCCTTTGGTCCTGCTGAAATCGACAACTTTTGCCTCAGGGTCACATCGAAATTCTTTACCAATTTTCAAATAAAAAATTAATAATTATTTGTTTTTTATTTTTTGGGGGGGCAGGCCGGACAAGTGATCCCGTTGGTAGGTTTATCATTGTAGCCCAGTAATCGAACCGCAGCCAAACGGAACTCCGCAGCCAAGCGGAATCGAACCAGTGACCTCGGCTGTAGCGGCCAGATGCCTTTACCACTGCAACAGTGACCCAGTGTTCAAAACTGAAGCCATACTGGTCGTGACATCCAGCCCACCCCAGCACCATTTGCAACAAGGACTTACGCGTCAACACAGGACATCCATGAGATCTTTCGCAGGCAGCAGCATCCACGCGCACCACCCCTCCTCCACAAGTGATCCTGGGCAACTCTGGTAGCCTAGGCGGCAGATATATTTATTTTTTCCATTTCACAGAGGGTCACCGAACCCATTCCCCCACCACCCCTCCACAAGTTGTTAACAGAGACCCCTCTTTTCAGCCCATAGGTTAACCTCCCAAGCACTGAAAAGGGCATTTGGGGAAATGGATTTTTTTTCAATTTTTTTTTTTTTTTTTTTTGGTCAAGGTTTGTGTGTGCCAAGTTCCGTGTTGGTTGGAGCCTTGGAGATGACTGTTTTGGCAAGCCCTCAACTTCCTGGATGAAGTGGAGACCTCGTGGCCCGTGAGCTCGCAGACTGTACGACAATGTCATTTTTGCCTTGGGCACTGGGCCCTTTTAAGAAAACAAGTCACAGGTGCGCCGCGGCGATGCCGCGGCAGGCAGGGCGCTGGCATGTGTGTGTGTGTGTGTGTGTGTGTGTGTGTGTGTGTGTGTGTGTGTGTGTGTGTGAGAGAGAGAGAGAGAGAGAGAGAGAATATGCTCTCTCTCTCTCTCTCACACACACACACACAGACACACACACACACACACACACACTCACACACACACACACACACACACACACACACACACACACACACACACACACACACACACTGCAACAGATCCCCTTGAACCTTTCTCGTTCATCTTCACCGCGGCCAGTGCCCTACCATCTTTCAAGAATCCACCAAGTTTGAGTGGATCACGGCAGACATTGTAGATCGGGCTTTCTTCATTCAGCTGACAGATGGATAATTCACAACTACTCGACTTACCACGCGATAATATAATAGTTCGTAGACGGAATGCTGACCGGAACCAGAGCTCGGATCTTGATTACGTCCGCCATCTCTCTCTCT